TTTTTTTTTTTTTTTTTTTTTGTCAAACGTTTGTCATTCATCATCGATTATTATTAACATTTCAGGAACGATCGGGTCACCACACATCGGACGAGTGTGACATCTTCGAAATTAACAAAGATCTACTGAGGGATAATATGGATTGTGTTATCAGTACATTGTTCATTTTACGACTCTGGCTGTTAAAAGAGAGGGAGCCGAAATTATGGGAGCAAGTCAAAACTATGGAAGCTCATTTGGATGAAAGAAGAGACACAGAGGATTGGGAAGACAGAGAAATAAATATCGTAGCTGTAAGTGAGATAAAGGAATTAAAAACAAAGGGAGTTTTTCTCGCAATAATATTTGTTTTTTTTTTTTTTTTTTAATAGATGATGAAATCGCTCAATTTAATTCCTGATAACGATCCATCTATCTCGGAAGAGCTTCAACTAATATGCGGAATAGTAGATGTTAATTCTCTCGAGCTTAGGCCCCCAGGACGCATAGAAGGGCTTTATTTACGAGGTTTATTTATGCAGGCCTCGTTGCTCTCTCACAACTGCAGGGGTAACCTTCATCTAACTGCGGATAGCAATTTTAAGTTAATCGTATATGCCAGTCAACCAATTAAAGAAGGCGATGCCATTTGCTTTAATTATTCTTCGCCTGTTTTGGTTCGTTTATTACGCTTATTATAATATTTATAACACTACGAAATCCTGTGTGTGGAAATCTTGAAACTCGTTTCAAATGTTATACTTATATATTTGTATTATTATTATTATTGTATGTTACACGTGAAAGCTTCCAATTCAATGAAGAATAGCGAAGTTGCGCGATTCTTTGTTATTAATGATTTATTAATGGTTTATACTTTATACACTAGGGAACATTATCTCGCAGATACCATTTAAAAAATACAAAATATTTCGAATGCGATTGCTCGGTGTGTAGCGATCCGTATGAAATGGGATCGCATATAAGCAGTATCCTGTGTCCACGATGTAAAGAAGGTTACATGGGAATGGAGGATCCTTTGACAATGTCTCCATATGGGAAGGAAACAAAATGGAAATGTAACAATTGCAGACACCGCATAGGAGGATGCCTTGTCAAGACCACTTTAGATCTGTGCAAATCATTGATCGATGAAGTGGACATTCACGATGCTAAAGTTCGTATATAATGGAATTGCACGAATTATTGAAACGTCTGTTCAATTTGCATTTATTGATTTTTCTTTTTTTTTTTTTTTTTAACAATCAAGGAGCTAGATATTTTAAGGAGGAAATTATTGAATTCGCTGCATCGAAATCATTTCTTAATTCTAACGGTGAAGCAAAAGTTGTTGACTATTTATAGATTCGAAGCGGTGAAGCCAAATCCAAAGAAAAGGATTATGGAGAATATGTTGCTCATATGTAGAGAAATGTACGAATTGCTGGAAATTATTGAACCAGGGATATCTCGATATAAAGGTATTTTTTTTTTTTAACCAGTAATTTTACTCGAATTTGCTAATTAAATATGTGAAAGCAATGAAAACTGATTTGTTCGAATTTTAATTCTGCAGTATGTTTAAGCTGCTAATTTAGCATAGTATAAATATTGACAAGGTTAATGTAAAATGTCGCCTATTAACAGGAAAATATTTTTTAGCAATAATCATGTACGAGTTGCATTTACCAATGGTGTCGTTAGCAAATCATGCGCACTCGAGAGAACAAATTTCTTCAATGGAATTGTCTTCGCGCCTTGAAGAAGCCGCAACTATATTGAAGAAGTCCCTAACTATGCTGCTTTTAGAGCCAACGGACACTCCAGAAGGGAAATTGGCCAAACGTGCTTTACAAAAATTAAAGACACTAAATCTAACTATAGCCGACGCTAAGGCTTTGAGTCAACTTGAACAGCTTACTATTCGTGAAAGAAGAAGACTACAGAAAAATAAATAAATAAAGGGAAACAAATAGACAATGGATATGAAGTATCTTTTACATTGACAATGATGATTACTATGCTAATATTAATTTTTATCATTATGTGAGAATGTAACAAAGTATTAGTTATGTAAAAATGAAACAAACATTAGTAATTTAAATAAGAAAATTTTTTAATGATTTTATACCATTTCGAACATTATATGTATATAACTCTAGTGATCAAAAATATCACTATATTAATCTAATAGTATCGCAGAATAAATTATATTATTGTTATTTGAAGTTTTATTAATTATTTTATTTTAAATTGTTTTTAATAATATTGAAAATAATTTGGAATTATTTAGTTATCATTTTCTTATAAAAAATTCCCCCCAGCCGTTAACGTTGTTCTATTTTAATGATTATAAATTTCTGCTGATCTTGAACAATATTAAAATGTGCGACATTCATAGTATGTACGTTTGTGGAAATTCTATTAAAATAAAATTTTTAAAAATTGAGTTAATTCTTTAATAGAACATGACTGAAAGATTTAATTTATAATAAAAACTAGTACGCCAACTGAAACAACATAGTTGGTTAGAACATAAAATATTCAATTTTTATAAATCGAAAATTTAAACTTGCTAAAATTTACAAAATTTATTTATTTCTTAAAATATTTGCTGTCGCAAACAGGTAATATTCTAATGATTTATAAAATTTTACAATACATATAAACTAGATATAACCTCTATGAGAAAAGTACAAATAAAGCAAATAAACAAATCATTGGTTTTATAATAAATATCGTTGTTATATATAATACAAAAATTAGTAAAGTATAGTTTGTTGTAATAAATATATAAATATATATATATATATATGTATGTGTGTAATAAATATATAAATATATATATATATATATGTATGTATCAGATTATTAATTTCTTTAATTTGTACAACAAGGAATTTTGCTATTTTAGCATATAAATAGTATGTTTGACCAAGGCATTATTGGAATATGCTTTTGTATTTGCTTGGCAATAGTTTTCAACTTTTCTTTACATCGTATAGAAGAAGGACATGTTGGTGTTTATTTTAGAGTAAGTAATTGATAAAATAGAATAAAGTAAATAATAAATACACTATAATATAATTTATAACATATACATATTTTTATTAAATGATATAGGGTGGAGCATTATTGCCTCAAATCAGCAATCCTGGGTTTCATATGATGATACCTTTATTAACAACATATCGCTCTGTTCAAGTTACATTACAGACAGATGAAGTAAAGAATGTTCCATGTGGAACAAGTGGTGGTGTAATGATCTATTTTGATCGTATAGAAGTTGTAAATATATTAGATGCAAACAGTGGTAAAAATTTTATTAATTACGTACATTAAATTATGAAAAAACTACAAATTTTTATGCAATTTCAAATGTTTACAAATACAAATAAAGAAAAATGTAATTGAAGCGGAGAGTTGTTTCCACTACTAAATATTATAACAAGTTTACATTAGATATTTCATATATTTTTACAATTTACATGCATTCTGCAGATTTCTACATTTCTAAATTTCTCATAAATGCATAAAGATCTGTAGTCTAACTATACTATAATTATGAATTATTGTAACATTTTGCATTCATCCTCTTAATTATAGTTTATAACATGGTGAGAAACTTCACAGCAGATTATGATCAAACGTTAATATTTAATAAAATCCACCATGAATTAAACCAATTTTGTTCTGTACACACATTGCACGAAGTATATATAGACTTGTTTGATCAAATAGATGAAAATTTGAAAACTGCTTTACAAAAAGACTTGAATGATTTAGCACCTGGTTTAAGTATTCATGCAGTTAGAGTTACTAAACCAAAAATTCCAGAAACTATCAGAAAAAATTATGAATTAATGTAAGTATAGTATAAATTTAAGTTAAGATTAATGGTTTTAAGAAGTTAAACAATATTTTACTAATTATTACAGGGAAGCAGAAAAAACGAAACTCTTAATTTCAACACAGCATCAAAAAGTTGTTGAAAAAGATGCAGAAACTGATAGAAAAAAGGCTGTTATTGAAGCAGAAAAAGAGGCACAGGTAGCAAAAATACAGTATAATCAAAAAATTATGGAAAAAGAGTCTCAACAGCGAATAGCAGCTATTGAAGATGAAATGCATTTAGCAAGAGAGAAAAGTCGTTCAGAGGCTGAATATTATCAAACAAAAATGCAGGCTGAAGCAAATAAACTTCTTCTTACTGAAGAATTTTTAGAATTAAAAAAATATGAAGCATTAGCACAGAATACAAAAGTATATTATGGTCAAGATATACCAAAAATGTTTATGTATGGAGGTTGTTCAAGTAATCTTAGTACAAATTAACTTGTGGATGTTCAGAAAGTAATAATAGAAATTAATGTCTTTTTTCCTAATATTGAACGATAATATATACAAATTCTTGTATATAATGATTGTAATTGTAATTGTTATATTAATGATAATACTTTGATGATATGAATTTTCATTTTCAAAAGTAGAATTCATTTTCTTAAGTATAATTTTCAATAATTTTCATATAATTATCGTTAATTTCTTACCAATTTTTATTGGAACAAATCAAATTTTCTAATAAAAATATTATTACAAATTATATTGATGCCAGGTTACTATATTATTTTGTATTCAAAGTATTTTGTAGTTCCTCTAAAATAAACAATCTAACATCACTTCAAATATTATAAAAACAAAATGTAAAGTAAAAATAAACTTTACACTTAAAAAGCAAATTATCATTTCTAACAAAACCAAATCATTAATATTAATAATATTTCAACTTAATTACAACATTAATATTAATTAAATATTAATACATCTCTAAAATTCGTAAATTAGATAGCAAATAAACTATAATAAATTTTCCAAATTTAAATTATGTTTCGAAATAATTTTTTATTACGGTAGTTTAAATGCGATGCGTGCGCATTCTACATTTATCATATGTCAACCTGTCAAAAGCAACATTTGTTGATCCTAACATTTAAAATTTTTACTAGTTTCTAATAGATTTATGATTTACTACATTGTTTATCAGAGTGAATATTAAAAATGACAGCAGTAAGTTTTACGATTACATTGCATTATTTTGTAAAAGATAGTATAATCTATATTTTAAGGTTATGTATAGACAGCACTTCACAATACATTTTATGTTACAATAATTAATAATTCTTGTAGAATTTTGTACGACGAATACAAATATGAAAACGATTTCGTCCATCAAAATCGACTTCTTTGAAGAATGCAAATTTTAACTTTGAATTTTTACAACAGTAAAACTTTTTATTACACACAAATACTTTTTATATAAAATGATTCTACAAATACTTTCAAATATAATAACAAGAACAGACGATAGAACAAATCTTGTTCTTGTAGAACTTGTGAAAGAAAGTTAGAACATAGATTTCATTTGAAAAATTAAAATAGTTCTATAATATATAAGGTATTACCATTGATCTTCAATATCAACAATTATTTGATGTTCTTTTTAATACAAGAGACTTATAGTCATGCAATTATGTTAACTTATTTTGCTACATTTATTGTTTATATATTATTTTATTATAGAAATAATAAATTTATATAATTAATCTAAATATTAGTGTTTAATGCAATAATAAATAAAATATTTTATACATTAAATTACTGAATGTGATAAAATATATTACATGTAAAAAATTCTGAAAATACAATAATGAAATATTATCTTTCAATTTATTATTTTTGTCATAAATAATTATATTTAATAAATATAATAAATACAATTCCTCAAATGAATACAGATCTTTCTCAATCGATTTTGTTCTAGATTCTTAGTTTTTAAAATAATTGAAAAACATTCACAAAAATTGGTACATTTTGAATGTCCTCTTCAGTTACTGTTTAAACATATTTAAATGTTTGTAATACTGTGAAAATATATATTATTATATTTGAAAAGGCCTGCAAAATCATTTTATGTGAGAAACATTTATGGACTAGTTAAAACACAATATTCGAAAATTGAAAATTGTACTTTTTTTCGAAATTCTTAAAAACAAAGAAATTTTCATATTTGTATTCAGCACAAGAATCACCTATTTAATATTGTTATGATTGCTATTGTAATTTATGAAAGAATGTAAAGTTAATTTTAAAATAATTAGAAGATGTTTTTTAGAAATATATATTTCTGAGTAATATATAAAAATATTTAGTATTATAATAATACTATGTATCTATAATATTGATATTATAATACTAATGTGTGTGTAGAATCATAATATAAAAATATGTTATTAATTATCATTATTTATATCTTTATTTGTATTACTTTAGGAATTAAGAAAATTTCTTTATGGCCTTCTAAACAGTGTAGAAGGACTTCACAGTATCTTGATAACAGACAGAGATGGAGTACCTGTTGTATCTGTGGCTGATGATACAACACCTGAATTAGCCATGAGAGCAAGCTTCTTATCAACATT